ATCATTTTAATGTCATGATATGTTCTTTTAGGATAACTTTATCAATATTAAGTTTATCCTTGATTTGGATTGGAATAGACAGAACAGTAACAGATAAAGTGTTTGCCCAGGCCCCTGCAGTGACAACTGAATATGTCAAAGCCACATTTACTTGGGTTTTATGAGCGTTAATAAAACTATTTGGAGGAGAATTATTTGAGGAAACGTAGATGTTATTACATAAAATAAACAGAATGGGAGCAGAGGAAGTAACATTTTCTCTAAGAAAAGGAAAGAATTTTTAAGAATAAAATATACATATCTGAGTAAATCTTTCAGTTGCCAAGAGTCTTGAATTCTCTGTTCACTTTCCTTAGATAATTAATATTAGTTTGAGGTTAAATAGCGTAACAAAGCATGCAAATGATGTTTGATCTTTTCTGCAGTACATCCATCTGCTTGAAACAAGGCATGTCTAGCCTCAAACCATGAAAAGTAGTACAAGTTACTGAGTCAGGATTTCCTGTCCTATAGTAATGACTGTTTGGACTTGATGATTTACATTATTATAAAAATAGCCTGGCCCTCAAAAGATTAAACTCACAGAGACCTAGATGTTTTTCCCATTAAAGACAAAGGTAAAATCCTCAGTTTTCAATGGGAGCAGTACGGGGTACAGAGTGGGTACCAGTTACAGACTGTTGGTCTGATCCTGCTCCCACTGAAGACAATGGGCCATTTACCCACTTTACAACTCAAATAACCTATGTTAAATGAGCACTATTATGATTGCGAAGTCAAGTACCCAAAAGTTAGAAAATGCCAGAATTAAGGTTGCCTATGCACATTTATCCTGGCTTCCTTGTCCATATGAATTATGATTCAGTCTCTAATTACATCATCATCAAGCTCTTTTTTCCTCACATACCCATGTGTCATTCAGTGATCAGACTGAACGGTGCTCATTTAATGAGCAGCTACTCAATATTTTGTTTTCTCCTTATTGTTCAAAGTGTGGCTGCAAGCTTTTTTTTTACCGCAGGCTCTTCAAACTCTGCACTGAAGATAGAATTATTCATTTTGTCATGGGCTTTTCTATGGCACTCATCACTATAGTATTCAAATGCTTCACAAACATTGATTAATTTAGCTTCTCAAAACCCATGTGAAGTTAGGGGTGGTATTATCCCCATTTTACAGATGGGGAGATGAGACACAGAGAGATTAAGGTCAAAAGCAACCACTACTTTTGGGGCCCAATCTGAGACACTTAGAATTGTATTGCTTCAGAGTACTTAGCATTATATAGCACGTTATATACTCAAGCTCAGCTCCCATTGACTTCAGCTGCAGATGTGAGTGCTCAGCAATTCTGCAAATCAAGCCCAGGGTTTCAAGTTGAGCACCCAGAAAATAAGGAACACCCAAGTAATGACCATCTCCAAAAGTCTGGTTTAAGTGACTGGCTTAGCATCACACAGAAATTCTGTGGTAGAGACAGGGATAGAATCCAGTTTTCCAGGGCAGCATTCAACTCCCTAGCCCTTCTTCTCTTCCTGAAATCACCTGCTTCATTCACTACACATCTTCCATCTTCTACAAGAAATGAGGTAGAGGTCCTACAGACAACAGCCTCCTCTATTACATAATCTTCATTCATCCCCCAAAATGGGCTTATCATGTGAAGTGAATAATGTAAAAAAAAGATTATGTGATTGTGTAATTAAAGACAAACATAATGTTTACGTACAAAGGGGCTGAATTAAGGTAGCTCACAGTCTGCCATCCTCAACCCCCTCCCTTGTTGCCCAGCCAGTCCCAATTCTCAACCCCCCATGACAGCTCCTTGTCAAATCTATCTCGCCTCTCTCTCACCCCTGCTCCCTCACTGGTGCCTAGTCCCAGTTTCCTCTGCCCCCAGCCCCTCATCTGATTTTAGTGCCCCCCAGTCAACTGGGTCCCAGTCTCCCAATGTCAATTCCCTCACTGAATTCCCAGCCCCAGTCCCCTTGACTAACCAGTTCCAGTCTGCACTACCCCTCCCTCACTAATCCCAGACTTCTCCCTCAAAAGGGGGAGGGATAGTTCAGTGGTTTGAGCATTGGCCTGCTTAAACTCAAGGTTGTAAGGTCAATCCTTGAGGGGGCCATTCAGGGATCTGGGGCAAAAATCTGTCAGGGACAGTACTTGGTCCTGCTGTGAAAGCAGGGGACTGGACTCAATGACCTTTCAAGGTCCCTTCCAGTTCTATGAGATAGGTACATCTCCATATTAAAAAAAAAATCCTAGTCCCAATTTCTTTTCCCTCCAGTCCACCTCACCAGATTCTTTGTCCTAATCTACTCCTTTCCCCCTGCCCCGGTCCAGCTTTTGGCTTCTCTACATTGGGCTCAGACTGCTTCCTCCTCCATTCTACTTGGGTGCCAGTAGGAAGCCATTGAAAACACTGGAGAGACAGACTCCCTGCTTTCAGTTCCAGTGCCCGGCCCCCAATATGGCCCAGAGGAACTTGGAGCAGCCATTACAGGAAAAGTCTGTCTTCATCCCTATAGCCCTTGGCTGGAGCATGCTCAGCTGCTTTGAATAAATGGGCGTGCACAGTCTGGTCAGTGCTAGTAGCTGTTAGAGGTTTGAGCATACACAGTGAGCACAGAATCTTTGAGGACTTTAGCTGCTAATATCTAAGAAGTCTCTATTGAACTGCAATTTTTCAAAGGCTTATAACTTGGATACATTTCAGCAGATTTTCACAAGGATACAAAAAGACATATGCCTGACACAAGGGCAAGTCCCTGCCAAATTGCAAGTCCCTGCTCCAAAGCTTGGGAACACCAGAGCATATCAAAGAAAAATCTAAAGATTTTATTTTTAACATGGACAAAATAATTTATTTTCCCCTAGCCTAGTTCTTGAAAATGGCTGAACAGTTTTGGCTGAGAGAGAGAGAGAGAGAGAGAGAGAGAGAGAGAGATTAAAAAGTTCACCCTAACGCAGACACTTCCATGTAAAATTTCAGCCAAAACAGTTCAAGTTTGGCAAAATTTTAAGCAACTAAATGCAAAGCATTATAATGAGAAGCGCAAGATAACATTAATATCAGATGGTGCTGCCAGCTCTGCATATAGTAAAGTAGATACAAGAATGATAACTATTGTTTAATCTCTCTGTATACTATATATATAATACAGTATACCTCCTTCTATATGCATCTCCTTTTCTTTCAAGATCACTGTGGCATTACACCCTTTTTATTATTAACTATTTTCTAAATCTCTCTATTCATATCTACTGCACAATCTATAAATGGAATCAAATTCTATTCTAATTCATTGTAGGCAATAATTTTGCTCTGGCTATCTCATCAGTTGCATCCATTGGAGTCATTGAGTTATGCACATGCAATTTTGTAGCTACGTCACAGAATACAGAGTTGTACACAACTGATAGTGAAAGTGTGAGCATCCCGTTCTAATAATAAGCACTTAATTTAACTAAAAAAAACCACTCAGTATCATGCAACAGAGAGTACTGTGGCACCTTTAAGACTAACAGATGTATTGGAGCATAAGCTTTCGTGGGTGACGTGAAGTTCCACTCTGATAGATCATAGTAGGCTTGTCAGAGGGGAGATCCTCTCTGCAGTACTTTGCCCCTGCCTCTCTCCCAGCTCAAGCACATTTATCCCATCTCTCTCCACACACGGGCACAATTCCCCCATTGTCTGTACTCAGCCTCATGCTCCCTCTCTCTAGTCATATGCTCCTCTATTGACTAGCTAAATGACCAAGCACACCATTCTCCCACCATGTCCCTCCAGAACATATTACCCCAAATACCAACTAAGAAAGTGTGATTAAGGATTGAAAAGGTAGGCTGCCTACGGGTATGTATAGGAGCATGGTGGAGCAGGGCTGTGTGAGATAAACAGTGGGGACCATATTTTGAGGGCTGTGGGCGAACCAGGTTCATTTATGTGGGGGGAGAGGGATAATCAGGATTTTGTGTGGGGAGCCACATGGCTGTAGAAAAGAGCATGAGACTTCCCACCATAGAAGCCTCTACCATGGCTGTAGAAAGAGCAGGGACAGGGACTTCCCACCACAGATTCACACATCATATTCACCTCGCCCCCGAGCTACTCATCTCCAAGGTATTTGTGTGTATGTACGTGCACATACATATGTATGAATATTCTTACAACAAAGTGAGTGGGATTATTATCAAATATACAGAGCCTATGTTAAGCATAGTTAAGGAGTGTCAACGCTGCTGAAGAAAATGATACTACTGGATCCAGTCCTTCAATACTTATCAGAAAATACTCTTAGACTTTCTTTGAAGTTTGGTAGTTTTGCCTTAGTAAGTAGATCAGATCTCATAACTAATGGTTTGTCACAGTAAAAGATTTGGAAAATGATTGCTTGGAAAAATTAGTAAAAAAAATTAAAGTTATATTATTTCTTTGGTTTAACCATTTAAAAAGTAGTAACATTGGAGTAACAGTTTAAAACCACAATCACACTGCCTGATTGTTAAACCCAGTAGATGAAGCAGTGCAAGAAGGCAAGCAGGAGAGATCCATTGCTCTTTCTTCAGCACCTCAGCCAATCCAAAGGCATCAGGTTCTCTGCACAGATCTTTCTGAAAGCAGTTATGCTACCTCCAATTCCTTCTTCCATAGATGAGAGAAGGGTGGAATCTGTGACACTCCCACTCCATCTCCTTTGTGACAAGCCACTGGCCCTAATTATGAGCATTCTTGCTGTCTCTCAGCTGCCGTTGAAGCCATGCCAACATAGCAAAAGTCATGGATTTTTTTTTTAAACCATGGAAACAACAATTTCTGCCACAAACATGACAAAAATACAGCTTTATAATACTTACTACAATTTGGAGGCTTATTCTGCTTCTATTGAAGTCGATGAAAATTATGTCATTAACTTCAATGAGAGGAAGAACACGACCACAACTGGGCTCAAGGAGCACAATATAAGATTCTATTTAAAAACATATTAACTTACTTGAAAACTGGATGGCGAACCCAGATTTGCTTATATAAAAGTCTGTGTCGAATTGGATAGTCACTATGTTCAGTGTGCTGTGAATGCCTTCTGGAATAAGAGATCCACTAATTTCCTTGAGTAGCATCTCATTTTCTGGTGGCCCATCCCAAACTCGTAATATATCATGTGATGCTTCGGTATCGAAAGCAAGAAACTGGAGGCTGTAAAGCACCATGATAGTTCTGTCAGCTTGTTTGTTTTTTCCCCCCCTGGAAACATCTCTAATTATAATATTAAAATCAATATAGCAAGTAAATCTGAATTTACACAAATATTTCTCCATATTGCATTTGATACTATGAACCATAAAAGTAAAGAGGTGAACATACATTAAACATACAAAGTATTTTGATAATGGTTTGAATTTTTCTTTGTATCTAACTATATTTGAGTTTACATACAATACTGGTTGGGCTATTCAAATACAGGTTGAACCTCTCTAGTCTGGTACCCTCGGGACCTGACCGGTGCCGAACCAGAGAATTTGCCGAACCACGGGAGGTCAATATTTTAGTGAGCAGGTCTCTTTTTATTTTTATCTTGCCAAGGAGAATAAACAGAACAATGCTTGTAATGCCGCCTAGCCAAGGCTTACTGGCTCTCTTCATAACAAAGTGTTAGTGTCGTTACACAATTTTACTGTTTTGGGACAAGTAAATAAGCAGATAAAGCATAAAAAAACATAAAATAAAATCATGCCTGACCACAGATGTTGCCGAACCAGAGTGTGCCGGACTAGAGAGGTTCAACCTGTAATCCAAATTATTTTTTTTTTTTAAAAGAGCATTTCAGGTATTATTTTCTTCTCTCGAGGTCCCTTCCAGTCCTAGAATCTATGAATCTATGAACATCATGTTATATATGTCAAAATCTGATCAACACAAATTAAAATGTACCCATATAATTCTTTTGGAAATACATATGTTGTTTCAGTCAAGCATCTAATGATAAATTGTGATCAGATGCTTGACTTGAAATTAATTACAAGATGCCACCTATTCCCTCCGATGTTTCTCTTTTTTCACTTTGTCTTATGCTGGCTGGGTCCAATGGCTTTAGAGCCATATACTCTGTGTATGTGTGTGTGTAGGTACATGTGTTTGTGTGTTTTAACAGCTACTGGTTCTAAAACTAATCATACTATTTTAACTAATGAAATAATTTTACTACCTAACCCTACAAACCCTCACTCACAAGAGTAATGACAATCAGATTTGAGATGGGCTTAAACCAAAATCATGGATCAGACTTTTGTTAGACATATAGGCTTGGATCCACATTTTGAGGATTGAACCCTTCTCTATCTCAAACATAAGCCCATATTTGCTTCAATTACAGTACCTGACAATATTTCCTGGATCTACTTCAATCATCCACATACAACGCAGATTATTGTCATAGGGAAAAGGATAGCCAGGAGATAAGATTCTTCCTGATGATTCTCCTTTAAAACGGCCTCCACATTCAGCTAACGAAAACACAATTTGAATTACATATCATTTTATCACATTAAACATGATTCTCCCAAACTATGTTTATATATTGCTGACCATAAGCATGTTATAATTTCATAAAGTGTTGAATCCTAACACAAGACTGAAGGAGGACTTAAAATGCTTTGGAAAGATAAGGTACTGGTGTATTTTTACTCACATGTTTATGTATTTTGCTATAATTCCTATGCTTTTCTGATAATTCTGAAGGCAATACAGTCATTATGGAACATGCCATGCCATTTATTTTTAGTAAGAAAAACTCCTCAATGAAAACAATGCAGAACTTAGCTTAACACCTGAAAGCATGACAGAGCCATAAAGCATTAGGAGTAAAATAAATAACAGACATGTAAGAAAGAAAGAAAATGCAAAGTAAGAGAGGCAGAAAAAAACGAAATAAAGCCAGAATATGCAGGCTGAAATTAAAAGTTTGGGCTTGAAAAGCAAAGTTGTAAAACTTTTTACCAAAGATGTATAATAATAGCAAAGCTATATTATTTCTTAAATGACAACAGACGGTAAATTACTCCCTATTAGCTGGCCTCAGCCAATCATTAATCAAACCTGAATAATTCATAATCTTTGTAGCCCACCTCTGAGAAAACCTAATTTTTACAAAGACCCCTCAGGCCTTTTAAATCTCCTTATTTTGCTTTCCTTCCTTTTAAATCACTCTAATGCTTTCTCTCTTGGCCACACCAAAGCCAAAATAATGCTTTGATTAGATCTCTTGGTGTAGTTAAAATGCAGTTCAATTTTGATTTAACATCACCTAAAATATTTAGTTGGGAGATTTATTACCTTATGATCTATGAGCTCTGTGACAAAATTTAATTGAAACAGCACTCTTGATTGATTTCCCAACATAGTAGAAGCAAATTTTCAGAGACAGGTAGTCCCTTCAAGCTTCTCATATATTTTTAGGTATTTTCCAACCTGATAACCCCTACAAGGTCTTTTGAGAAATATTCCTTCGTGACTGTTCAAGGCAAAGAATGGGATTGATTGTTACTCTCACTGTAGACTTGGGGCATAAAATGAGTGAACTGTGGGAATAATATTATTTGTTGGCAGAAGAAAATAAAATAAAGATTATATTTGTTCCAAGAAACAATATTAGAAATTCTGTTCCAGATTTGAGGATAATGACAATGGAATGATTTTCCTCTCCTCACCATAAGGAATAGAGTATGACATAAACTGTTCATGGCAGTGGCAAACATACATTTGGTTCATTTCTGGTTATTACGGCTGCATGAAATTGGTAAAAATACTTCCATACATTTTCCAACATTTTGTTTGCATCAATGTCATGAAGACTTTTTTTTGCATTGAAATGTGAACATTTAAATTATTAATCTGATTCTGACTATAATGTCAAATTAAAAAACTTCTGACTATCTTTTAGACTTTTTACTGTGATACTTTTAATTTAGTATTATTATTAATTATTATTATTAGAGTTCTAAATTTCAAAACCTGACAATATTTATTAGAGATGACCCATGATCTCAAACTTCAAGTCAGTATCAAGACTTTCTCTAAATTCAAGAATGTTTGAATCCAGGGGCTTGGTATGGCATATTATCAAGAAAAAGCAGGACACAGCCACAAAGTCCTGATTCAGAGCTCAACTAACTCACAATTTGAAGGTGACTGGATCTGTTGTTTTGATTCAGACTCATCTCTACTTTAGAACTTGTTCACTTCGTCATTATTGCTGGACACAACTGAACACAATACTTTTAGTGATCTTCCTTTTCTATGTAGCTTAGCTGCTATATTGCTTGTCTGGGTTTCATCATCTTTTTTAACCAATTTCTTCAGTTTGTACTATTATTAAGACATAATTAAGCTCTGACAGTACACTTGACAACATACAAAGCCCAGAAGACATGGAGCTACGTGGAAGACATAGGATATATAATGTATTATTTAGATGTATTCTATAGATCTACATTTTGGTCTTTATTTTATTTAACATGAATAAGCAAACTATATTAAGGAATGTGGAATCAAATAGCATCATTTTATAGTTGCTGTCAACACCTACTTTTCTTTTCCTCTTCTTACACCTTGACTATATACAAATCTCGCACTGGTTTCACTAAAGTTATTTTTAGAATCTACTTAGCCAAACCAGTACAAACTCCTGGACACACTTAATTAGATTTATAACTGGCGTATAGCAATTTAACAAACTCTTGTCTGGATACATTTAATTTGGTTTACAACTGAAATATATCTTCAAAAATAAACTGAATTGTGGATCATCATAGAGGACAAAAGACTTTGTTGATTGCTCTCCTCCACCCCATGAAGACAAGATATGTAAGTGAATTCCTCCCATCAGATGAGCTGGCAGCTCAGAGAAGGAGGGAAGGAATAAAGATCCCTAACAAGGAGAAACTGCATCTCTACACTGCTGAACTCGAGGGCAAGGTTTTATAGGCATAAGCAATAGATCCCCAGTGTTTAGCCTGGGTTAGCTGTAAGGGATATATCCAGCTTGCTTATTATAGAAGCTTCTATTACCTTTTGAAACTTAAGACTAACTTATTTATGTGTGTGTGTTTACAAGCTTTAATCCTGTAAATAACTCTATTTCCTTTTCATAGTTAATAAATCTTTAGATAGTTTATTATAGGACTGGCTACAAACTTTTTCTTTGGTATGAGATTTAAGGTGCAATTGACCTGGGGTAAGTGACTGGTCATTTGGGACTGAAAGTAACCTGAATATTGTTGCAGTTTTTGGAGTAAGAGACTATCTAGCAAAAAGACAACTTTGACTAGATGACAAAATAGATTGGAGTACCCAAAGGGACTGTCTGTGACTCCATGGGTGGGCTGTTATAAATGCCTGAGGAGTTCACACTGAATAAATGGCAGGTGGAACCTAAGTATAATTTAGGGTTTGTGCCCTGCTTCTTAATAGTCTGTCCTGAGGTTCATATTCACTACCTTGAGACAACTTGGCAGCCTTCATGACTCCAAGTTGGTAGATTTGCTGGCCCAGGAAGGACTTCTTATCCAAAAGGAGGGAGGGATAGCTCAGTGTTTTGAGCATTGGCCTGCTAAACCCAGGGCTGTGAGTTCAATCCTTGAGGGGGCCATTTAAGGAACTGGGGTAAAAATCTGTCTGGGGATTGGTCCTGCTTTGAGCAGGGGGTTGGACTAGATGACCTCCTGAGGTCCCTTCCAACCCTGAGATTCTATGATAATTACTAGTTCTAAGGACCAACAAAATCTTGGGATATTTTTGTTATGATGACCAATTATTAATTTGAAAGATATGTTTAATTCATTTGAATAGTATGCTTATTCTTGGCTAGACAGGATCTTAGAATGAATGGCTGTGCAGAGGCATAAGACAGAATAAGACACCTATGAGTTTTTCACAGAAATTAAGTCTGAGCATAAAGGGGCATGTGCAAACTTTTTGCCTGTTACCCCCAACCCCCTCTTGAAAGAATGTGGGCAAAGAGGAACATAGATGGAGCCTTGGCTTCCATCCAGCCAAATTATTATCCCTTCCTCTCTCTCCCCGATTCCCAAATTATAGAATCATAGAATATTAGGGTTGGAAGGGACCTCAGGAGATCATCTAGTCCAACCCCCTGCTCAAAGCAGGACCAATCCCCAACAAAATCAAATAAGGAGGCATGCCTCTTCTTCCCTGCACTATTTGTGAGGCAACACACTATGTGTCACCCTTTATATAGGGCTGTAGCAAAACCACACTCTAACCACCCTCCTCCTGTTGTGTACTACAGTATTCTTAATATTTGACATTTGCACTCTATTATGTAAAAATATTTACATGTGAAAAGTGCTTTATAACTAATCATATTCATGGAATATACTGACTGGTTTTACAAATAGTTCAGCAAGTCAAGACTGTAGATACCTTTTCTAAGTTATCTGTAAGTGTTAAAAACTACAAGGAACTCATTTCACTACAATTTCCATGATGCACTCCTGATAAATATTTACTTTCCTGGTTGTCTAGCTACATCTTTCAGATGCCAAGAAGTGATATATTTAGCAGGTTCGGACAGGTTTGCCAGATCACACACATACAAAATTAACAAGCTTCTAGAAAACATAAAAGCATAAGGATCTCTCTTTCTTTTTATTTTTTTAAACACAGTAGAGTTTTCATTAAAGTTAAAAAGAGTCTACTACCAATACAGGATGGCAGAGGATAGTCCCATGCCCTTCTTTCCCCTGTCATACACTTTAGAAGGCTACTTCCATGGAGTGTGTAACCTGGATTGCATCCATAAATGATAGTACTGCCAGCAAAATGGCCTTGGTCACTGATCTTGTATCCAAATTGTGGCACACCAGGATCCTCACAGTGTGAAAGCTCAAAATCTGTAATGAGAATAAAGAGTGGAATAACAGAATTAAAATGATAACACACATTTGTGAAATTAAACACTTTTTGTCTTACAGTCTGAACACAGCATATTTTTTATTTTTCATTTGGCAACACGTTTAAGGTTTGTTTGTTTGTTTTTTAAATGGGACTAGAAAGCTGGCTAGATTGTTGGGCTCAATGGGCAGTGATCAATGGCTCGATGTCTAGCTGGCAGCTGGTATCAAGTGGAGTGCCCCAGGGGTTGGGCCTGGGGCCGGTTTTGTTCAACATCTTTATTAATGATCTGGATGATGGGATTAATTGTACTCTCAGCAAGTTCGCAGATGACACGAAGCTGAGGCGAGAGAGAGATATGATGGAGGGTAGAGATAGGGTCCATAGTGACCTAGACAAATTGGAGGATTGGGCCAAAAGAAATCTGCTGAGGTTCATCAAGGACAAGTGCAGAGTTCTGTACTTAGGAAATAAGAATCTCATGCACCACTACAGGCTGAGGACCGACTGGCTAAGCGGCAGTTCTGCCGAAAAGGACCTGGGGATTACAGTGGATGAGAAGCTGGATATGAATCAGCGGTGTGCCCTTGTTGCCAAGAAGGCCAATGGCATATTGGGCTGTATTAGTAGGAGCATTGCCAACAGATCGAGGAAAATGATTATTCCCCTCTAATCGGCACTGGTGAGGCCACACGTGGAGTATTGCGTCCAGTTTTGGTCCCCCCACTACAGAAGTGATGTGGACAAATTGGAGAGAGTCCTGCGGAGGCCAACAAAAATGATTAGGGGGCTGGGGCACATGACTTACGGGGAGAGGCTGAAGGAACTGGGCTTATCTAGTCTGCAGAAGAGAAGAATGAGGGGGGATTTGATAGCAGCCTTCAATTACCTGAAAGGGGGGTTCCAAAGAGGATGGAGTTAGGATGTTCTGAGTGGTGGCAGATGACAGAACAAGAAGCAATGGTCTCAAGTTGCAGCTGGGGAGCTCTAGGTTGGATATTAGGAAAAACTATTTCATTAGGAGGGTGGTGAAGCACTGGAATGGGTTGTCTAGGGAAGTGGTGGAATCTCCATTCTTAGAGCTTTTTAAGGCCCAGCTTGACAAAGCCCTAGCCGGCATGATTTAGTTGGGGTTGATCCTTTGATCAGGGGATTGGACTAGATGACCTCCCGAGGTCTCTTCCAACCCTAATATTCTATGATTCTAAAGTTGATAGAAAAGTACAGGATTTTCAAAGGGGGGCCTAGGAAAAATATTGTGATTCTCTGTGAGACCAATCCAGAAAGTCTTCTGGATTGGGCGCGTGTGTGTGTGTGTGTGTGTTTTAAAGAACAGATATTTTTATTTTTTCAGGTAGAATTTTCAAAAGCACCTAAGTGATTTAGGTGCTTAAGTCCCACTTTCAAAAGATACTAGGGCACATAGGACCCTCAGACTAGGTTTACACTGCAATCTATCAGTGTGACTGCAGCATACATACACTACTTAGATCAAAGCTATCTTAAGTAACAATAGCAGTGAAGTCATGGCAGCGCAGGCAGCTACAACTTGACTATGTATCCAGGTCCTTGGTGGGCAAGGCTAGACTTTGCAGCTGCAGCTTTGCTGTTATTATTACCAGAGTTAGCTTTGATCTTTAACATGTGCTGCAATCATACCTCCAGCCCAACTGCAGTGTAGACATACCCTAAGTCTCACTGGAAGTCTTTGGACTTGTCTACACCAATTAGATCATTGCAAGCTGGGGTGTAAATGTGGACCCTGCTACCATGCACTAAACATTCTGTAGTTTTCTCTAACCTACCCCACTTTGAAACAAGAGTAGATTAAAACACACTATAGTGGTCTATTAGTGAGTGGCAGCAGGGTTCACACTGACATCTACTGCATGGTAGATTTACATCCCATATTCACGTGAACTAAGTGTTTGTGTAAACAAGTCCTCAATGAATGACATTAAACAGGCTTTAATTTCTTCATGCTGTTTGATTTTCCTTAAGAAAGGTTATAAACTTTCCTATGTTTAAGACATAGCCTTCAAAAACTGCACGTTTTTAGTGAATGTGCTGTTCACCTCTTCTTACTGCAGCTGCTATGCCTACGGCTCAGTTAGCCAGTGAAATACAAAACCTTTTGATTATTCTTAAATTGAACTTGAACTGATCTAAAAAACAAAAACAAAAAAAAATTGAGGGTGCCATACATTTGGTTGGCAATTGCTTGTTACAAAGTGTAATGCACATATATGTGGTAAATTAAATTACAATAAACTGTAGCACTATCAGTGAATAAAAAAGTGCATTGATAATAGTCTGAATTGAAAAGCAGAGTATATTGAGTTTAATTTGCTGAGATTATCAATATTCTGAAAAAGTCAGAATTTTCCTTGTCTTTATGATGTATTTCAGATCACATTCCTTTCAGTTGAGAACCATGAAATCTTTTTTTTAGTGCTGAGTAATTACATGGCTTGAAATGGCTATATGTACTATAAATACCATCTACTTCTAAAATGTTACAATAACTTATAACACAACACTAAAATTAATTGTCCAATTATCATGATGACACTTTGATTTAGTTTGACAACGAATGTGTAGGCGCTCATTAGCAAAATTGCAGAGCATGGTTGTTTGTTGTTGTTTTCTTTTCAAGCTTTAAATTAAAACCCTCTCCTTTACCAAAGCCACATTGTTTGAATACAAACAAGCACTTTCATAATAGTTAAATACGTAAGGGTTTCCATTCTAATCCTGCTTTCAGAAGCCCATGACTTTCAGAACTGGGGGATTGAAAGGTACAGGCTGATCCCAGCCTGAAGATGAACTGTTTGGGAAAGTTTGCTCCAAAACAATTCTGTCACTTTTGAGAATAAGGGGAGTAGGACAGTGAGATAAAAAACACACTTGGCTATTACAAAATTCCAGCTGGGGTTAGAAAATTGAAATATGGCCAAAAATTAGCTCTCGTTTAGAAGAAGTGCATGTGAGTGTTCCAGTGAAAATTGCTTTTTGATTTGAACAAGTTAGGAGCATCTGGGAATCTCATTCTATTGGAACACAAGCAAATTTTAATAATAGCACTTAGCTCATAATGTGCATAGGTAATAAGGGCATACGGTGCATGTGTCCCAGACATTCCCACATATGGCTGAAGAGGAAGCAAAGAAAATGTTCTTCACTTCCACCATCGCATGCACAGTCTCAAATTGAAGAACTGTGCTGAGTGGTTGACAATTTGCTCAACATTCACACTCTCCACTCAGTTACTAAACTATGCTTTATTAATTGTGAAGAATTTTCATTTACTTTACAACAAAACTGCTCAGATTTGCACTGAGCTATCTATTGACATGGAAACAGAAACATGACTTGGTAGGTTAAATGATGTGTCTTCTCTACTTGAGTTTCAGCCAGTATGGCTCACTGAGAATATGGAGATGACAGGGACCTTCATGCCATAACCTGTGAGTTGGATCATTGTTCTGTCTGAATGCTGAAGGCCAAGAGGGAAGTACTGAGTCCCATTGTTGGCCAAGATTTTCATTTGTTACCCTGAGGGTGTGGGGAACAGGCATGTGAGGTCCATGTTTAAGAATCTAACTCTTGATGTTGGCAATGAAGCTAACTATTGACTAACTATTGACTTGTGTCCCATCACCCATCACCCTTTACCCATTTTCTGGGAAAGTCACTGAGAACGCTGTGATTAGAACTGGTGAATAATGAATATTTTGGTTCACTGGCAGTTCTGAAAAATGAAATTTTCAACTAGTCAAAAAGTCAAAAAAACTTTCTTCAGGCATTTTCACAAAAGCAAAGGAGGACTAGATTCATAAGATATTGGGGGGAGGGCGGATGATGACGACCACCTCTCTTGTAAGTTTTAGTCCAGTGTTTAGGGTACATGCTTAGGATGTGGGAGATCAAGGTTCAATTCCTCTCTTTAGCTGATGAGGAAATGGGACTTTGAACTTAAGTGTCCCACTTTACAGGGAAGTGTTCTATCCCCTCGGGTAAATCTTTCTCAATCTCGCCTGTTAAAGCTGTTTCATTTGCTATAAATAATTAAATATTCCTTGGAGCAGGAATTTGAAGTAGGGTTTCTCACATTGTAAATGAGTATCCTAATCCATCAGGATCTGAAGTCATTCTCACTCTCTTTCCCTCGCCCAATGATTATTCATTATCATTCATAGTGGCAATTCATAGCCCTTTATGTTATGGTTTGTTTGTTTATTTTCAGGGGACTATGCCCCAAGGAAAATTTAGCAAAACAAAACCAACATAATTTGCTTATGCCACAAACTCTGTGAAATGTGTATAGTTTCACTTTGGAAATTCCAGCAAGTCAATGACATGTATAATAATACTGAAATTCCATACCTGATCAGACCAGTTGGTTGTCTAATCCAGTATCCTGTCTCTGAAAGTGACCGGTACCAAATGCTTCAGAGGCAGCGCTCGTTCCCCCATCAATAGACAATTATACAGAACTTATCCATGGGGATGTTTCCTGGTAATTCTAGGTGGTTAGTGATTGGTTATGTTCTGAAGCGTTCATTAGGTTTTTATATTTATTTTAAGACTAGCTACTATAATTTCAGATTTTTTTTATTCATGTATTCATATTTAATCCTTCTCTGAATCCTATTGAGCTCTTACCTCTATAATATCTTGTGACAATGAGTTGCACTGTATAATTTCCAGACTAGAATATTTGAGTAATACAGAAGCTAGAGTTCCAATATAATAAATGTTTGATTTGGGCAGAAAGTTGAAAAAGATTATTTTGAGAGAGTGATGAATTGGTGGCAATATTTTACCAGTTTTTATCATCATTTGATTTTATGAGTAGGAACAATGACTGTTTCAAGCCATGAACAACATAAATTACTTGCATCTGAAGAAGTGAGGTTCTTACCCACGAAAGCTTATGCTCCCAATACTTCTGTTAGTCTCAAAGGTGCCACAGGACCCTCTGTTGCTTTTTACAGATTCAGAATAACACGGCTACCCCTCTGATACTTAACATAAATCCATTATTCTATTTGTCTACATACTTACTGGTGTAAACAAGCTGAAAACCTTCATCAGTTCCCTCTGTATCTGAGTTAAATTCCAACCACAGATGATTTGAAGTACTACTTAGTGTCAGTCCTCTCAATGAGGCCCCAGTAAATGCACCCAGCAGGTGAGCTGTGTTGTCTTTTCCATCATATATCTGTAAAACAAATGTGACTTGTACAATTTAAAAAAAATTCAGTTACAACGTAATTGCACACATCTCTATTAAGTGGAAGGATGCTTATTGTACTGGGATCTATTGTAAGTAAATTTAGAGAGCTCTTTATGCATATGCTGTTTGTTTTTCCTGAATTATGATATAATTGTGGTGATTTTTCAAATGCACAATTTAAAATGTCAGTTCTTTTTTGCATGACAATTGAAGTGGAAAGGGTTGCCATTTCAGCAAAATGTTTTTAAACATCTGTGTTTACTTTGCCATTACCAATATTATAACGTTCGCCACAACATATCAACATATCATATTATTTTGTGTACGCACTTCTGACTCAGTCCTGGAAGTGGTGTAATGTAAAAATGTAATGTCTCTCCAGCCTTGAATGTTAAACAAATCTCTGCAAAATATTACTAAGTAAAGAAAGGTACACGTATATCAATAAAATAAAAGGAATGAGAATAAAACAAATAGAATAACTGGCTCCTTAAATTGGAAGAACAATGCAATTTATATGTAAACTGGAAACCAAGATTTTTATTTATTTTTCTTCAAGAGCTGTTTTCCCCCTATTTAACAATGGACATTGCTATAGAAAAAAATAAATAAAATCCCAAACATTTTAAATAAACTATTCTAATAACATGTAGCAGATTTCATTGCAAATTTTGTTCTTTTTAAACATTAGAGGTTGTTACATTCCATTCAGCCATGAGAAAGTTAAACTGTAATTTGATTAACTGTAGTTGCTATGCTTAACACTTAAAATCTTTGACAAATAAGTTTTAAGAATGATTACATTTGAACATGACTAAATTCTGACCTTTGTCTTATTCCTGATTTGCTGCACAGTGAAACTCAAAACTTTTCCTGTCAAATAAATAGATATTCATGTTCAATGCTAAATAAAGTCTATTTTTATCAGTGGAAAAATTATTTAGTGTTTGCATTTGTAAATATGAATGTATAGCAAAACCAACACAAACCAAAAATACCATTCTCACCCAATGTATTAAACGGGAATTTAAAATGTGTCATGTAACTATTATGAGCTCCTTTTTACATCTGCGTGGAGGATTTACATACATAACTCCCATTTAGCATTAATCAGAGACTTCTGCATAAGCCTCTAGTAAAAATGGAATCTGTCCACTATCTTTCAGATGATCATCTGAGTGAATGAGGTATAGCACTTTCAGAATGAGATTACAGAATAACACCAGTGTCTGGGCCAACATTCCTTGTCTCAGTCAAAACAAGGAAACAACAAAAACAAACAAACTCACAGACTTTAATGCTAATGGCTCTGTGTGAATTACTGTACAACTATCCAATATCTGTTACATAGCCTCTGAACTTCTAATAGCTAATTCACTGTTTTATTAGCATTTTGGAATATTCCAAAGTACTGGCATTCTATAAAACAAGAGTCTTCTATTTAGGTGAAGCCATGTATGTGATGATGAACTAATACAGTGGAATGTGTTTTATTAAAGTGTTGGGGGAATTTACGTGAATTTTCATAATATTGTGGCTTCCAAGTCCAGCAAGATTTGTTCCTGTAGAACTTCAAAATTCCACTAGAATGGAGCTTAATAAAAAGTAGTTACTGTGGAGTGTCAACCAATGCAACCCACAGGGCCATTAAAAAAACCCTATGGTTAATTAGAAGTTTCTGTTCATTGTAAATAAATGCTGCACTGTATGTTAGAAGACTATTTAGGAAAACAATCTCTTGGAGATACTATTCTGTTATTAAATACTAATTACTTGCATCAGTAATTTCAGATCTCTGGAGATCTCCAGAGATTAGATATCAAAACACTCTTTTTTGAAATACAGTAAGCATAGGCAAGATTATTTATGCCAAAGTATTTGATGCACCATTTCATAACAACTTTCAAAATCAGGTTCACATATAGCTCCTTATGTAGATGTTACTTCCTTCAAAGGCCTTCCAGAAAATGGCTACAATATACTGAAATTGCAAGACAGCTAACTACCAGATATCCAACTTTATAATTGTCTGGTATGTTTTGTGTATACACTGCATATGTTTCTCCCAATGAAGCTTCTGTTCTATATGCTCCTCAATGTAGAAATCTAAATAATATTTCCAACAGCGCAGTATTTGTATTCAAGAGCCACAAAATCAAGAACTCCAGGTATGATACCCTCTATTCCAAATTCCTGAAATGGCTCATCATCCACTATCACATCATATTTAATCTTACTATGATCACCTTCAAAGATCTGCATAACTCTGCCTATCATACCTTGTTTAATTGTTCATTGCCCTGCCTCTCCACTCAGCAGCATTCCCAGCCTTTGCCACCAGTGTGTCATCTTACTGTGGGATCACTTATATAACCTCTTCCACGTGCCTGTCATACACTGTATAACCTCACTGTGCTCATCTGAAAAGCCTCTAACCCGTCCACAATTATGTCTTTCTTAAAGATCCACTTCATAAAGTTGAAAAGATCACTATTAGATGTTCTCGCTCCCAATTCCTCTATTTGTCTGTCTGTCCTTAGGTTGTGAGTCTTTCAGAGCACAGACTGGTACTTTTGCATGTCTGGAAAGTGTCTCACACAAAGTAAGCCATAAACAAACAAACAGCAGTGCACCATTCTCAGTTCCACACCTGGCATAATCTCTGACTGGCAACAATGGGCCACAAAATAGATTACAATTTCTAGCTGTCCTCATCACAATTTATAGAGAAGCTGTCTTGCTCGTAGACAGCAAACATAATAGTGTGTAATCTGGTATTTGGGCAAACAATTCCTTTATCTTTGCTAATTTAAACTAACATATAGAAAAAGACCTGGAAACAAATCAAACAAACAAAAAAACAAAAGATGTTCAGAAGAACACTGTGCTATGATTCCTAACTGTACTGTATGTAATTAACATTGCTGTCCATATATACTTTATAAAATAAAGGATTTTTTTTCACATTGAGCCTGAAATAATATTATCTACTTTTCAAAGGGAAGGGCAATAAGTAAAGAAATTGTGTAGAAGACATCTGACCAGTATAAAAAGATGGGGGAGGGGGAGCTGAGTCCATAAAAGTGATGAAGAAAGTCTCACACACACAATAAAATCCTGAAATTCCTGTATTAGAAATTACAAGGAGAACTACCAACAAAGAAGTCATTTCTTAATATTAGAATCTAAGTTTAAGAAGAACCAGGATTATTTGATCATTGAAAACAGCAAATAAAACTGTTACATAATTCAGATACTGACATTGACTACATATAATGAAAACACACCCTTGGCCTTGAGTATAAAGGGCTTATAATATACTGCATAAATAGAAAAGATGGTAAATTATTTGCATATAATACACAGTAAAAGAACAAAGAGTTGGACATATTGAACAACAAATAAATTATGTACAAATAGTCTTAGCTATTAATGTGTTATGGAAAGCTTTGCCGAAACTACAATTACCCAATTAATCTATCTCTGTTCCAATACCAAAAAGGTAAATAAACACTAGATTTAAGATTGAAAGTTTTCCAGGGCAGGAACCATTTCTTTCTATATGTTTTCACAGTCTCTAGCACTTAATAAGCATTTCCCTCAATTATTATAATTAATAATAATCAGCTACAATCCTCATCCAAATAGATAGAAAATCAAGTCTCTGATTATTAATATGCCAGCCATAGTCAAAGAGGTTTGAATTATTACATGAGAATTTGTCTTGAATAGAGCTTCATGAATTCTGTAAAAAGTACTGATAAAGATTCATTTAAATAAAATCCACAAATTTTCTCTGATGGCATTTTATGTGAATAATATTTTGTCTATCGTCCCATCCTCCAGAACATCTCAGAAAGTGGAAATCTTGCAAATATTTCATCCAAAGATGTTAGTGTGAAAGTTCTCACAATCACATTAAAAACTTTGCTTGGCCTCCTCATTCAATAAACAGAAACAATATTGTGTAATTTAGCTGACCTGTCACTAATGAAGAAGAATAAATGCCCGAAGATGTAATCTGTGTTTAGTAGAGCAACTGACCTATAGGCCAAAATATGTTTGCATTATGTGTTCAAACAGTTTCAAATGATGAACCCAAAAACCAGACAAGTTGTTCATATTGAAGACATGATGGTGATCTTGAAGGAGAGGAAAGAATGTGTCTGGTGATAAAACTGTCTTTCTGAACCTCCTGAGATATCACTAATCTGTTGTGCGGCAACACAGGAGGCAAATAAAGTGCTGGCTAAAGTAAGAGATGAGGAGCTCAACAACACACTACTGGTGGAAAAAAATAAGCACTCAGGGAAACTGCCCTAAAACCTATACTCCATTACAAAATGCAAAATTTCAGAGTGGGAGGGAAAGTCATTTCCCAGGGAAATGATGCTTTGCCAAAGGCTCTCTCGCAGAGAACAGAAGAGGAAGCAGCTTGTGTGTGTGTGTGTGTGTGGCTTGTACCTACCCAATCTTGGAATCAGCTTAGTTCATGGGCCCTGTAGCAATCTGGGAAGAGCCAGGGTGCAAGATTACCCTAGCCACACCTTTCCTGTGTCAATACATGCCATCCCTGTCTGTGCCAATCCTGAGATGACCCCAATTTGTCCCCTGACATGGGGGCTTCTATACGGGGAGTTTACATTCAGCTCTGCACATGCCTGAAGGTATTGCTGTGCCAGGAATATTCCATGCAGGCATAAGCACAGACTAAAAAATTAGTGGGTACTTTGCATCCACCAGCAGCCAGCTCCCCTCACCCCCAGCGCCTCCCGCTGGCAGCTCTGATGATCAACTCTTCCCCCTCCCTCTCAGCGCCTCCCGCCCTCTGCGATCAGTTGTTCCATGACATGCAGGAGGCGCTGGTGGGGGAAGGGGAGAAGCAGGGACGAGGCACGGTCAGGAAAGGGGGCAGAACTGGGCGGGAAGATGAGGAGCGGAGCGGGGGTGGGAAGAGGCAGGGTGTGTGCTTGGGGGAAAGGTGG